ATTAGAAATAAATTTTTCTTATGCCAAGAATTATATTCCTCCTATCAAAAGTACCTCCTTTTATAGAAAATCTTGACGGATAGAGCTTTTACTAAGACGTAATTATTACTATGAAGATAGCGGCGCGAGCGAGGACCGCGCCGCCGCGGCCGCGGCGGCCGAGCGCTCACGCACACTACCAGGCGCGCGGCTCACTGACGTGCCGCCCGGCTAAAGGCCGATACTCAGTGGATTGACTTAACTCTCGCATTAATAAGCATGATAGAAAAAAATGGTTCAGGACTTTTCGACTCAGAATTTTATAAGGAATAACGCTATGTACTTGGTGGGCGGTCTTTAAGTAACACCCTGTATAATACATACGTTCTATAGATAAATAGTGTCCATCGAGGTTTAAGATTAACAGTTTAAAATTATTTAAAAATTGTATAATGCTATAGACCGAAAACGGAGTCAAAGGGGGTCAAAAAATATACTAATAAATAAATTAATAAATAATATAAATTAAGATAAAAGTTACTTATTGTTAGAAGTTCTTAGTTTAAAACTTGTATCAAACTATCATAAATTACGTTTAAATTATCATACATAATTATCAACTTACAATTAGTAGACCATGCTATGTTGCTATCAGACAAACAGTTTCACAACTCTAATATTAAAATAGTGGAAAAAATCCTTCTCAATAATTGTTTCCCTTAGGACATAATTACCATATACATTAATAAACGTATAAAAGAGATCACGTATGGGAAAGTTAATAATAAAACTGAAACTGTTACTTTCAATAAAAATTACATATCTATTCCATACGTGAAAGGTCTGATTGTGAGTGGAAAGGTGGACCATATTCTTAATGAAAATTATTTTTGGGTGTTGCGTACAGTACCAAAGAAACTTGACTGCTTAATCAAAAGAGGAAAGGACGTGGTAGATAAAACCAAACAAACGGAATTATCTATCAAATTAAGTGCACCTCATGTGATGTATCTTATGTGGGGCAAACAAAACATTTGCAAACTAGAGTTAAGGAGCATCAACGGAATTATATTAGAAGTTCAACGGGTAGCTTCTCGGTTGTTTCAAATCATCGCATGGATAATGGTCATGATTTTGATTGGCGAGATTCACTGATATTACATAGAGAAAAGAATGTACGTAAAAGAGAGATAGCGGAGATGTTCTATATAAAGAAAACTAATGCGACTATAAACTTACAAAAAGATACGGAGAATTTAAACGTAATTTATGATTGTTTGATACAAATTTTAAACTAAGAACTTCTAAGTAACCTTTTATCTTAATTTATATTATTTATTAATTTATTTATTTGTATATTTTTTTACCTCCTTTGACTCCGTTTTCGGTCTATAGCATTATACAATTTTTAAATAATTTTAAATTGTTAATCTTAAACCTCGATGGACACTATTTATCTATAGAACGTATGTATTATATATTCTCGTTTTAACCTTTTTGACTCCGGCTTCCGTTTATTAGTTATATTTATTTATTTATTGCCATGTTCTCCGTATCTCCTTCACACCATTGTCAGACTTCAGTCCTACTTTGGATGTTACATCGGATGGACGTGCCATCTAACATAGTTCTCCATGTGATGCCCAGAGATGGAAGTAAAACTGCTGTTTTTTTTTTCTTTAATTTGATACCAATGACGTAATATTGTAAGTTTATAGAAAATAATTCTCATGACGTTCATTTTTTACTTATTCTTGACTTTGTTTCGCAATTGACACGACTGTAAGATGCAATGTCGTTTTTTAAAATAATTGTAGATTGTTGAATTCCCTGAAAAGGACCACAACCCGTATGGTCGAAACAATTTGATTGAATAAATAAACCATCTGCCAGCCTAAATCGTCTAACAATTCCTTTTAATACCAAGAAACTTTATTTTATTTGTTTACAATCATCTTTTCTCGCGATCTATATAGGTTTTTTCAAATATGTTTGAAAAATTATAATACAGTGCTATTAAATACAACAATACAGCATTATTAAATATTGAAGCAACACAAATATTATTATATACAATTTGCAAAATAACTAGTCAATAAAAGTATAGTGAAGCAGCAAACTGTTGAATTATACGACAGATAGTTTATTTACATAATGTCTTAATATCAATTTGATCAGCAGAAAAATTTATCCATAATGGGCAATATTTTTGCCCGTAGGTAAAATATATGAGCAAATACAATACATTATGTATCCATCATCCCAAATCGAGGCAGAACAATTTCACAGTGGATTTGAACGGCGATGGATGCTTTAAGGTCAGCCATGTAATTCAGAAGTAATTTAGATGACTCATAAGTATGAAGTCTGTTCTACAGCTATTTTCGGTCTTTATAGTATCTGTGAATTTCTTTCGAAATGATCCATAGTCGTGATTTTATTTGTATTTATTATATTAATGCAAGGTACAAATGCATGTTGCTTTATTACTATAGTTTTCCTTTTCTGGAAACAAGATTAGTTTCAATGCGCATTTTCATGTGCGTACCTTACAAAATATTTTGCAATTGAATTATTTATAGATTCTATAGTTTTAATCTATACTTCCATAAATGTTACTTAAATGATGTTTAAACGATTAAATATAATATATACGACATACAATAATATAATGATAACTGCAACGAAGTAAAAGATTGATATTGAGTTTAGATTATACATAATATTACTTCATTATTTTTCTGCGACAACTGTTCTTTTAACTGCGTCTTATTGAGTTTTTTTTATTGATTGATTGTTATTTTTCTCTATGATATGATTGCGTATTTTTCCCTTTTTATGATATTTTATTAGTATTAGGGACTTTTTATCTATAAAATGAATTTTCGTGCTTGGTATTTGGAACTTTATTTTTATGCAATTGTAAAATAATATTAACTGTGTACTTGAAGTACATCTGTAAAATTTTTTAACTTATAGTAATTTATTATACGAATTAGTTGTATAAAGTATTATCACTGCAGGTCCATCTCAACCTGATGAAGACGATTATGGATATGAATCCCAAGAAGCTTCTGCATTGTACAATCAGTTTATGAGTAAATATAGCAGTTTACCTCTAGAAAAGCCCATTTTTAATACCACTGAAGCAAGAACGGTGAAGGATATCGCATCTACAAAGGTATGTTCTTTAATGAAAAATTGAAGAAAATTTTTGTAAATTGCATCATGTTGTATAAATGTAATTGAAATATGGATTCTTGTCCTGAAACAGATTACTATTATTTATTGCTCTTGTACAAAGCTACGCTCCATTTAAATTACAAAATGTTATAAATTGAAATTGGTAAATGTGCAGAATTATCTAGCGCTCCAGCAAAAATCGCGATTTTTTGTGGCAATCAACAAAACAAACTATAAAAACATACATATGTACGCAAAGTTTTAATAGGGAGCTTCAAGTTTTTGTAAGAAATTTCATGTTTCTTATTTATTTAATATTACGCATTTAGTCGGAATAAAACGTTGACAGAAATAAAAAGAATTCATAGACACGTTCACAATGATTCAGAAAAGTAGTTTTACGGAACTTAGATCTATGCGTTGTACTGTTCCATATGGGTTTACAAGTTTCCACGCGAAGCTAGATCCATCCCACATGAATCTTTATGTGATCTTGATGAAGCTGTTCAAGGTCATACTGATATTGCTATGAAATGCATCACTAAAAATCATACGACTGTGGTCCTTAAGATTTTTTTATTATTATGAATATTTTAAAAATTATTTAAGGTGTTTAAATTAGATATTCAGTTTATATACATGGGGCGTTCTCTGTCAAAAAGGCCACCCCCCCTGCCCTTCAATTTTTGAGATATAATGCTCTAAAAGGGCTTAAAATTTTCGTTGAAGTGTCTATTTTTCGATGCCGTATGGCGTTTTCGAAAATTCAAAATGGCGGACCCAAAATTGCGACTAGAATGAAAAAGCCATTAAAAGCAAGATAATATTAGGTAACAAATTTTTAATTTTGTCAATTACATGAGTGTGAATAGTAATTTTCCATGTATTTTTGCCTGCTGAACACGAATCGGTTGTCCAAATTTGGCTAGCATCACGATTTTTAGAAAAATGGCCTCAAATTGGTAAAAACAGCATTTTTGATGGTTTTCGTGACGTAGCACGGCAGCAAATTTTTTTCTCAATTTCATTAATGCCACGCGAAAGTACCAACTTTTAACTTTAAAATGCCTTGTGTTTCGTTTCGGTATGAGTTTATTTTAATGGTCTAATATTCAACTTTATTCAGAAACGAATTTCTTCCCAGATCAAGTGATCGTTCTGGCATGAAGTTCTATACAGAGAATTGTGGTAGAAACAAAAATTTAGCTTACAGGTCGCTATCAAAGTAATACTACAGATAAATTCGGATATGGAGTTAAGGATACAGAGCATCAGTATCATTGTTCCGTTTCACGGTTGCGTTGCATGCGCGCAACCAGTGTTTCTCATTTTAGCTATATCTCGAAAACGAAAAATCGTACCGAAACGAAACAAAACTCATTTTAAAGCTAAACATTCATAGTTCAGCATAGTATTAGCGAAATTTAGAGGACAAAATTTTTTGCCGGTGTTATGCATAAACACTCTCAAAATTGTCGTGTGTTTCTGGCATTTTCGGCATTTTTCTCAAAATCGTGACGTGCTAGTCAAATTTGGATAACGGATTCGTGTTTAACAAACAAAAATACATAGAAAATGACTATTCATACTCATGTAATCGACAAAATTAAAAATTTATTGCCTAATATTATCGTGCTTTTAATGGCTTTTTTCATTATAGTCGCGATTCTAGGTCCGCCATTTTGAATTTTCAAAAACGCCATACGGCATCGAAAAATAGACACTTCAACAAAACTTTTAAGCCCTTTTAGAGCATTATATCTCAAAAATTGAAGTGGGCAGAGGGGGTGGCCTTTTTGACAGAGAACGCCCCACATATACATATGTATATGTATACAGGGTGTGTCCTAATACCCGTATGTCCCGTAGATGGCAGATAGACCGGGGCAAACTGAATAGAAAAGTCTTATACTATTTTGCAAAATTCGCAGTTATTATCGAGAAATTAATTTTAATGTCTGAGCGAATGAGAGCGTAGAAGGCGGCAGGCCGGACTCGGCAGGCAACGGTGGGGCATCATCTAATAGCAAGAGGTGGAGCGGCGCGCCGAAAAAAGTTGTCAAAAAAGCTCGCCGCTCGCTGCGTGACAACTTTTTTTCAGCGCGCCGCTCCACCTCT